CAGCCTGTACTGATGGGCCCAGTGAATCAGGAGTAGGACCAAGAGCCTGTAGGTGTGTTGCTGCTGCAGCTTGGTCGTAGATGGTGATGGTGGAGACTCCCAGTGAAATGAGCAGTGTGTGAGCTAGGCTCCAGCGGTAGCTTATATTCTTTGCCCATAGGAGGGATGTGAACGTACGAAGTGATCACTTCCAGGTCAGAGTCCCCCCGGAGAGATCCGCATAGAAGGCTAGTGACATTCCCTTGAAGCTCTAAGGTGACTGCCCTCTAATGGCGGCTAGTACCGCTGATTTATCCTTGTGGCTTGGAAACTTGATCACCAGATTTCCCGAGGCTGTGAGTGGTGCTTTGGCAGGTTTCGGGATTCAGAATATTCCCTCTATAGACACTGCCTTTGCTTGTTTCGGGGTTAGCAAGGCCGCCAGGAGACGCCGGGCAAAGTGTGGGAGTTCAGCTGTCGGTACATTCTCCGAGACCCCCCTGATTTTCAGGTTTTTCTGCCTTCTCCTATCCTCCTGGGCGTCGGATCTGTGTTCACCGCCTGTTGCAGCTCTGTGATTTTTTGAGTGTGAGGTATCTTCCACTACGCCAAGGTGACTGGTCAGGACCCACATGTCCTCCGTTATCATGGTCACGTCCACAGATATTTTCTTCTGGAGGTCCGCCATGAGCTCCTTGAAATGTTGGGACTACCATATGCTCTGTCAAACACTTGGTGGTGTCAAGGTGTGGGAAATATAAGAAAGGGGAGTGTAGTAATTTTTAATCTCTACATCAGAGTGAGTTTGATGAAACCTGCTTTATAGCCTTGTAGAATTTTACATAATATTTTAAATGCTCAGATCCCACTTTATATTGATTTAAGATGGACTGCAACCTAATTTGACATCTGTTTCCCTCCTTTACAGTCATTCACTCGACTCACAGAGTTGGTCCTCTTGGATCATAAAAAAGAGTTAGATGGTTTGCGTGTCTCTTCCACTGATGAACTAAATTTGGCTGACCTCGAGGATGATGGCAACAAACACGATGGATCATCATCTTCCAAATCTTGTTGGTGCTAGAAATTTCACTTGTTGGGATGTGTACAAAGATTTATTTGAGAATGAAGTATATGCGGAGTACTTTTGGGAGAGTTCCATAGGTGTTAATTGTCACTAAATCAATTAATATAGATGGAATGTAAAGCCACCTTATCAAAGCTTTGTGAATATTCATCCTCGTGCTGAATTCTGTTAATTGTATCAACTTTTTCATATGTTTGATCAACAAATGACTCTTAAAACACTTTAAATATAAATAAATATTAATCTGTTAAATATATGTCCCATTGCAAACTGTCACACACATGGGCCAAGAGAGCACTCTAATTGCAATTCCAGATTAATTCTGTAATCTCTTAAAAACCTGTAACATTCCAAGCTGTCTGGTCCCGATACAATCTGTGTCCACAGTTGAGGTCCTGCTTACTTAGTATAAACAGCTCTATAGAGCTCTGCTTACACTTAACATACTTATTCACTAAAATGAGAATTGTCAAGAAGTCAGTGTGAATTAGTGTAATTTTTAGGTCAAACTAATGGAGAAAAAAATCTAAATTGGCTTTTTTTCCCTAAAAATTGGAATTATGCTTTGAATTCCTGACAATTCACAGTTTAGTGAATATACCTGTAAAGAGGTTTAAAAAAAGGACATGTGATAAGGGCCAAATATTTCTGGTGGTCAACATGGGTTCTTAAATGAAGAGTTTTTAATCAACATTTTAGCAACACTAGTGTATGTTTACTAGTACACAACTGCAGAATGTGTCTGTAATGCTTCTATAGCTAATTACATTATGACACAAGATATCTTCTTGTTAGGGTTCAATGTCATCTTCTGCTGATTTGGAAATATCTCTATGCGTGGACTACTGTAGGTATTTTATGTTGGCCATCATCTATGCTTTTAATCGGAGAGAGAAGGACCTACCCCAAGACATTGTTGTCCATATTTTAGGATTTGGATTAAACTTTAAGAAACACAGATGATAATTCCAAACACGGAAAAAATACAATTGGTCCATCTCATGTGCAATTAACTGAACCTCATTATTTGACTTGTTTTTCAAAAGGGCCTTTTGCAAATCCAAATATTATTGTATTCCTTTACTGTGTTTGCATATACTACGTCCATTAAAAGGCCCTTTCAAGTATATACTTACTTTTCTTTCAAGTGTTTTATCACATTACCGCAAAGTCGTCAGATATGCTTTTATTAAGTATTTTAAGTCCTACGTGCAGCCTGATGTTTGCTTGTTCTGTAATTGTGTCATGAAAAATACAATGTGATAACCAACTTTAGTAAAACTTGGATCTTGTAGACCAGTTCCTTGATGATTTAAGGACAGCTGTCCATAAATTTTACATTTCAGCATTATCTTTACACCTTATATACGTACAAGGCAGCAGGAACTATCATTTTCAGTTTAAAAAAAACATTTAGAATATTTTGGCATTTGGAAATATTGTTTGAAAACTGTTGGAAACTGCTAGTGATAATAGCCCTGTGTATCCATGTTGATTAATGTGCTATACACACACATTAATTTTTTGTTTTAATATAGGAGTTTTATCTCACTCGTTTTATGGCAAAGTATGCCAAATTAAGATTTCCTTAATCCAAGTATTCGGGTGGTGGCAATGGAGATGGACATCTGAGAAGCTTTAAAATGCTTCCTAATGTCCACCCTATGGGATCATCAAATATTAGGCATATCTCAACCTTTTTGGTCTAAAAATAATAATCATAGGTATGTGTACCCCCTACCCCAATGCTACAGCAACCCGTATTTCTTGGAAGTTATTGAAAAGTATGAGACACAAACAGCTTAATTAACAGTTTTTTTTGCAATGTACCTGTTCAATTGTCTTCAGTCATACAGGTTATAAGAAATGTTTTTAATCACATGGAATTTCTTTAAGTCTAACACTAACCTTAATTAAAGCTTAAAGAAGGAATATGTATTTACAAGCAAGTGAGCTATACCATATGTTTAACACAGTGTTTTTTTATACTAAGGGTGACTGAATATTTTGGTAATGCCAATGCTTTTCCATAAAAGCCTCATTTGTCACGAGACTTTACTGTCCCTTTACAGTCAGTTTGTTGGTTTTTTTAAGTAATTATATTCGTATTCCAGTTCTTTTGATTAGTTCTAATTTTTCAAGATCTGCTGGTTTAATTTCTGTTATTGTTTAACTATAGGTGCTTATGTATTTTCCTTCATGGTCACAATATCAAAATGTTTAGTTTCTAATGCATTAAAGAGAATTCTAGGACCTAAACATTTTGGTGCAGAATAGCCCCCACCACCAACGTCCTGTGACACCGGTGGGTGAAGTAAAGGTGGGCTGATTGGTAAAGCGAATTGCGTCACTGGTGCCGCCCTCTTTCGTTGCTTTCTGCACAGTCCTAGTGCCCTGTGTGTAGCGTAGATGCATATAATGATGCATTCACACTTCATTTTTTGGGGATAGTTCCCTGGTGTCCCCAAAAGTGGGACACTAGGAAATAAAGTCAGGACAGCACCTTGAAATCTAAACTGCACTGCCAAAATCGGGACTGTTAGCTCAGCTAGGTTGTTGGTTTTTTAAACCAAGTTTTCTAGAAGCCCACATTTATTTACCTCACTCTCAACACGCAGTGTTTGCCCTTTTTCTCCAAAACACTGTTGTTGTAGATGATGTTGTTATGGAGGTACATGTGAGTTGCAGTAGTGCTTTTTACAGTAGAGAGCTAACAGGTGGACTACAACTCTCATTAAAGTTTGCTGTGCCCATTAAGCAAAGTTTATGGGATAATCTCACCAGTGCCATGTATTAAAAAGAAGAATGGTTTATCCCCAGCCTGATGTTTTTTTTTTGTTTTTTTTTTTATATAGTTATAATGTATTAAAAGGATGAATGGTACATTACCAGCCTAACATTTCCCTCAGGGCAAAAGAGGATGGTTGTTAGCATGTTGATAGTGGTATCAGGAACTGAAGTGTATATAAATTGGATAAATTATAAATACAATATATAACTTATGGATAGAATGAGATACTTAGATAAGCAATTAAATTATAATAAATTATTTTAAATAACATATATAACTTATATATTAAAATCATTTTATAAAATAACTTTAATGGGCATTGCTTTACCAACATTTTAATGGTATTTTATTCTGGAATATACTTGATATTCTGTAGGGCAGATGTGCCCAAAAGTAAATCTTTCAAAGTCCTCTCCTCGTGATTTTTTTTTCTGAAACGTTCTCCCTTGTTTATATCTTTGATATCTGGTAAGAAAAAATATAAGCATTCAGTAATATTTTAAAGTGGTACAAATTGCCAAAGTATGCAGCCACTTTTTAGAGAACGTTTAAAAAAACATATACTTGAATTAGTAGTATACGTGTTGTTCTTGCTCTAAAACAAGGCTTTCTAGCACAATTTTTATGGTTTGTGATGCAGGTATTTGTGAACTCTATTTCTTTAGGACTGGCTGAGCACCTTGGGAAATATAGTTCACAAACACCGTTGGATGCCATCACTGGCATAAAATCTTCTGGGAGCTTTTTTGTCAGCAAGCTAGGCACTTGCTTAAAAAGACGTTACCATAATTTGAAAAAATATATTTGAACCCTATAGGACTAATGATATGTCAAAGCTGCCTTGATCACTGGAGTTGGGCTTAATGCAGAATCCTTTCGAAGAGTTTATTGGGGAGTAAGGAAAGAGTTAAGTAAAAAAGAAAAAAAATACAACCAAAAAATTCTTACCTCTGCTACACTTCTACATTTGGGATGACTTAATTGCCCCCGATGCCTTCAGAACATTAACAACTGCTCAGGCATCTATAGAGAAATTATTATTATGTTATTATTTATAAATTCAGTATCAGTGCATGTGTGCGCAGGCGTTTATTCAGTAATTCGTCCTATGGGTTAATCTAATTTGCATGCTGTGCTCAATGTGCCTGGCACAGCACCCAAAGTGAAAATAATTTAAATTGGTTAAATTATTACAGGAAAACTATAGTCCTTGGAAAACAAATTTATTTTCCTAGAAATATAGTGACTTATAGTGCCTCCCTCCCTTACTCACCCACCTTCCCTGGTGGAACTGGAAGGGTTGAAAACCTTTCTGTCACTTACCTGATCAGGCCTTTGCCAGCCAAGTGCCACGCTCGCATTGGGACTACCCCATAGGAAAGCATTGCTCAATGCTTTCCTATGGGGTTTTAGATGATGCTGGATATTCTCGTGCAGAGCATGAGGACGTCCAGCTTCATTTATTGGACTAAAAGTCCACTAAGGACCTGGAAGTGCCTCTAGTGGCTGTCTGCTCGATGGACACTGGAGGTGGTCTTAACCCTACAAGGTAATTATTGCAGTTTATCAATTACTGTAATAGTTACAATTGCAGGGCTAAGGGAATTTGGACAGTGCGCAGCCACCTAATGGACCCCCGCAAGGGTGGCTGTGTTCCTGGCAGAGGCAGCGAGGGAGCACTGCTCTGCTCCCTCGCACGCCGTTTGCTGATGCCGGGAGTCAGAATATGATGTCATATTCCGGCTCCCGGCATCAGTAGACAGCCCTCGCGGTGTGAGGGAGCAGAGTAGGGAGAACACAGCTGCCTCTGCCGGGAACACAGCCGCTTGCCTCACTGAAGCCCCACTGGACCCCAGGGACAGATCCACGCCAGCTCTCCAGGTAAGGTGTGTGTGTGTGTCTGTGAGTGTATGTGTGTGTCTGTGAGTGCATGTGTCTGTGACTCTGTGTGTCTGAGTGTGTGTGTATATGAGTGTATGTGTGTGTATGTGTGTGTCTGTGTGTGTCTCTACATGTGTGTGTGTGTGTGTGTGTATGTATGGGTCTCTGTGTGTATGTGTGTGTTTGTATGTATGTGTACATGTGTGTGTGGGAGGCGCGGAGACGTATGGGGGGGCCCAGGGCAATGTTCGCATCGGGGCCCCGTGGTTTCTAGTTACACCTCTGACACTTCAATGAGCTAAAGTAGTCTGGGTGCCTATAGTGTCCCTTTAAAGTATAAACATTTCAACCCAACCGAGTTTTGAAGAAATCTCACAAGTAAGAGTTCTGTGAGGACAAGAATCTAGATC